ACAGAGTGAGATTTAGTAAAAGTGTATGCATTGAACCCATTGGAGTGTTTATCTGTTGGGGAAATGGGAATAACTGGGAATCACACAATCAGACAGACAGGAGTGGGGCCTTGCATGGGGCCATGATGCTGTGGCCCGTGAGTCTGGGTGGGGGAATGTGATGCACTCTGCCCTCCCCATAGGCCCTGTCCCACCTGTCTAACTCAGTTGTCCTTACCTGTGGCTCTCTTGCTCCCCTGCAAAGGCTCACTGGGGCTGCAGCTTCCAGCTTCTTTGGAAGCAAACATCCTTTGGTAACAGCCAAGAGGCAAGGCTGGGCATGGTGGCTCATGTCTGTAATCCTAGCACTTTGAGAGCCTGAGGCGGGTGATCACGAGGTCAGGAGTTCGAGACCAGTCTAGCCAACATAGTGTAACAGTATAACATATAATAGTCCAATGCATAAAAATATTACAATGACAGCAAAAAAACAAAACAAGACCAAAAAAAGACAAATCTCCAGTGCTAGATTTCTAGGAGACCACACTCTTGTCCTGTTCCTTCCCTAGATAAAAATGCAGCACAAAGTTCTGACTACAGATTTCTTCAAGAAAGACCTGTGGATTCTGCAAGAGCAAGAGCCTAGAAAGAAAGAATGAGGAAATGAACATCAAAGTCCAGACACAAAACAGGAAAGAGGGAGACTATCTGGCTTCACTCTCTCCTGGTGGGACTGGCACAAAAATGGGTCAGAGGCAAAATTTCCTAACCCTGCTTCCTCTGGGTAATGCTTTACTTTTACCCCCTTCAAGCACTGCAGAGTCAACGTATTCTTTTCTGTAGCTTCAATTCTGCAAGGTTCAGGTCTGACAGGAAATCACATATACCTGATTAGCAGGGTACAAAGACAAGGGAGAGGGAGAGGGAAAGAGAATCTCTTGGGAGAACTAAACGCATAGACAAAGAAGCAGACTCAGGAGGGCTCAGTGGCTCACGCATGTAATCCCAGCACTTTGGGAGGCCAAGGCTGGTGGATCGCTTGAGGTCAGGAGTTCCAGACCAGCCTGGCCAACATGGTGAAACCCCATCTTTACTAAAAATACAAAAATATTAGCCAGGCGATAGCAGCACATGCCAGTAATCCCAACTATTTGGGAGGCTGAGGCAGGAGAATCGCTGAACCCAGTGGGTAGAGGTTGCAGTGAGCCCAGATCACGCCATTGCACTCCAGCCTGGGCAACAGAGAGACACTCCGTTTCAAAAGAAAAGAAAAAAAAAAATTCACTGGGTATGGTTGCACATGCCTGTGGTGCCAGCTACTCGGGAGGCTGAGGCAGGAGAATTGCTTGAATCCCAGAGGCGGAGTTGGCAGTGAGCCGAGATCGTGCCTCTGCTCTGCAGCCTAGGTGATAAAGCGAGACTCCGTCTCAAAAATAAATAAATAAATAAATAAATAAATAAATAAATAAAAAAAACGGGACAGAGACAACAGCATTCCATGATGAATCAGAGACAGGATCTGCTGCCCAATTACAAGGGAGCAAAGACAACAGCTGTGTGTGTGTGTGTGTGTGTGTGTGTGTGCACGTGCGCATCTGAGACACGGTCTTTGTCGCCCAGGCTGGAGTGCAGCAGTGCAATCATAGCTCACTGCAGCCTAGAACTCCTGGGCTTAAACAATCCTTCTGCCTCAGCCTCCTGAGTAGCGGGGACTACAGATGCACACCACCATGTCCAGCTAATTTTTTTTTTTTTTTGAGAAACAGGGTCTCACTATGTTGCCCAGGCTAACCTTAAACTCATGGCCTCAAGGGATCCTCCCACATTAGCCTCCCAAAGTGCTGAGATGACAGCCGTGAGCCACCACACTGGGCCAGCAGTTTCTTATAAAGTTAAACATATACTTACTATAAGACCCAGCAAGGCCAGGCGCGGTGGCTCATGACTGTAATCCCAGCACTTTCAGAGGCTGAGGCAGGTGGATCACCTGAGGTCAGGAGCTCAAAACCAGCCTAACCAACATGGTGAAAACCCCATCTCTACTAAAAATACAAAATTTCCAGGCATGATGGCACATGCCTGTAATCCCAGCTACTAGGGAGGCTAAGGCAGGAGAATTGCTTGAACCCAGAGGGCAGAGGTTGCAGTGAGCCAAGATTGTGCCATTGCACTCCAGCCTGGGCAACAAGAGTGAAACTCCATCTCAAAAAATAAAAATTTTTAAAAACCCCAGCAATCCCAATCTTGGAGTTTTATTCGAAAGAAATGAAAACATATCCATAGCAGCTTTATTTGTGACTGCCCGACACTAGAAAAAAATCCAAATGTTCATCAACAGATAAATAGCTAAACACATTGTGGTATATCCCGACAATGGAACACTACTCAGTAATTTAAAAAAATGAATTACTGATACATGCTACAACATGGATAAATATTTTTAAAATTATACCAATAGGGCTGGGTCTGGTGACTCATGCCTATAATCCCAGCACTTTGGGAGGCTGAGGTGGGCGGATCACGAGATCAGGAGATTGAGACCATCCTAGCTAACACAGTGAAACCCCGTCTATACTAAAAATACAAAAAATTAGCCGGGCATGGTGGCACACGCCTGTAGTCCCAGCTACTTGGGAGGCTGAGGCAGGAGAATCGCTTGAACCCAGGAGGCAGAGGTTGCAGTGAGCCAAGATTGCGCCACTGCACTCCAGCCTGGGGGACACAGAGAGACTCAGTCTAAAAAAAAAAAAAACAATTATACCAATGGAAGGCCAGGCACAGTGGCTCACACCTGTAATCCCAGTACTTTGGGAGGCCAAGGTGGGCAGATCATCTAAGGTCAGTAGTGACCAGCCTGACCAACATGGTGAAACCCCGTCTCTACTAAAAATACAAAATTAGCCGGTGGGGTGGCCCTTGCCTATAATCCCAGCTATTCAGGAGGCTGAGCCAGGAGAATCACTTGAACCTGTAAGGCGGAGGTAGCAGCAGTGAGCTGAGACTGCACTCCAGCCTGGGCAACAAGAGCGAAACTCCATCTCAAAAAAAAAAAAAATATATACTGATGGAAAGGAGCCAGACACAAGATCACATACTGTTTGAGTTATATGAAACACTAGAAAATACAAACGCTGTAATGACAACGATCAGATCAGTAGGGATAGGAGTTGCAACAGGGGGCTGACTGGAAAGAGGCCCTAGGAAACTTCTGGGTGATGGAAATGTTATTGTGGTGATGATTACAAGTATGAATAAATTTGTCAAAACTCATCAAAATGTGCACTTGAAAAGTGCATTTTATTGTATTTAGTTATATAGCAATAAAACACTGGCTTTAAAAAAGTCTCTGATAACAGGCTGGTCTAGGCAAACTTGAGGATCCCTTTCACCCTAATTCTAGTCCAAATATTTTCTTTTTTTTTTTTTTTTTTTTTTTTTTGAGATGGAGTCTCACTCTTGTCGCCCAGGCTGGAGTGCAATGACGCAATCTCAGCTCACTGCAGTTTCCACCTCCCAGGTTCAAGCAATTCTCCTACCTCAGCCTCCCGAGAGTTGGGATTACAGGCATGCACCACCATGCCTGGCTAACTTTGTATTTTTAGTAGAGACAGGGTTTCACAATACTGGCCAGGCTGATCTCGAACTCCTGACCTCAGGTGTTCCGCCCACCTCAGCCTCCCAAAGTGCTGGGATTACAGGCGCGAGCCACCATGCCCAGCTAGTCCAAGTATTTTCTAAAAAATAAAATAAAAAAAGGCCAGGCATGGGGGCTCACCCCTCTAATCCCAGTACTTTGGGAGGCTGAGGTGGGAGGATTGCTTGAGCCCAGGTGTTTAAGACCAGCCTGGGCAACATAGTGAGACGCCATCTCTACAAAAAATAAAATCAATGAGCCAGGCATGGTGGTTGCATACTTGTAGTCCCAGCTACTTGGGAGACTGAGGCAGGAGGATCACTTGAGCTCAGGAGTTTGAGATTGCAATAAGCTATGATTGCACCGCTGCACTCCAGCCTGGGTGACCAAGTGAGACCCTGTCTCTTAAAACAACAAAGAAAAGAAGGAAGGAAAGGAAGGTAGGCATCAGGCATATATTAAATCATTTGAAAATTTTTAAAGTCCTGACTACTTTGTTTCACCAACATGAAAGTGACAGGACTATGATCATGATATTGAAAACCTACCTGGCACTGTAATACAGGAATATTGGATTTTATTATTTTCCTCCCTGATTTTCATTCCAATTATCAGTCATCAAATATTTAAAAAGTAATAATATGCAAACATACATAAAGAAAATATAGCAGCCAGGTGGCTCATGCCTGTAATCCCAGCACTTTGGGAGGCTGAGGCGGGTGGATTGCTTGAGCCCAGGAGTTTGAGACAAGCCTGGCTAACATGGTGAAATCCTGTCTGTACTACAAATATAAAAATTATCTGGGCATGGTGGCATGGGCCCAGCTACTCAGGAGGCTGAGGCAGGAGAATCCCTTGAACGCAGTAGACGGAGGTTGCAGTGAGCCAAGATCGCGCCACTGCACTCCAGCCTGGGCGACAGGGCGAGACTCTGCCTCAAAAAAGAAAGAAAAGAAAAGATAGTAAATAAATTTAATGAACGAAAGCATGATTTATTTAATTCTCAACTTGAAGTTGTATCGTTATAACAATGTACCTGGTAGGTACTTATTTTAAAATTCTAATTCTAATGGGAAAGGAGACGACGACAAAGTCGGACACTTCAACTCTGAGTTTGGGATTGCACCAATCTTGCACTGAGGGTGCTTCTGTGCAGGACTGTATCATTCATTCGTGCTGTTTGGAAACAGGCAGCGGCTGTGAGATTAGACAGTGAAGCTACCCAAAAAATAAATCAATAGAAAGAAAGCCTGGAGATTCTAGGAAATGATTTGCCTACGCGATTAAGAAGAATAAATGTAGACTCAGAGAGCAAGCCTGGAAGAGGAAAAGTAAAGTCGGCGAAATCAGAAAGTTGGCGCAGGGAAGGCAAAAGGCCGCGACTTACCTTGCGTCCTAGGCATCCGGGGCTCCCGCGGCTGCAACTTTCTGACTGCAGGGTGCCAGCGCCGGCTCCGACGCTCAGGCGAGCAGTTCCCAGGGAGGTGAGCTGCGCAGACCTGCAGGGCCTCCACCGAACACTCTCCTAAGATCTGCCGATAAGCGGGGTGGCTTCTGATCAGTTCTGCAAGTGCTTCTGTAGACTCCAGACATCAGATCTCTGCTCTGCAAAGCCGGGCTGGGAGGAGGCCTTGGCCCCGCCCCTCCTCCTCCGGGAGCTCAGCGCCTGCAGACTGAGAAGTGCACGGTTTGGAGTGCGCTTTCTGGCGAAGCCGCACCCTGTGACACCTTTGCTTTGCAGAGGAGGAATAAAAGAGCTCCCGGACTTTCAGAAGCTGCTCCGCGCTGCTGCCACCACCACTTAGGATAAGGGTAGGTGAGGGAAGCAAGGGACCTCTGCTCTGATTTTGCAATTAATGAACCCCCCGTGGGGGGCCTCTTTTGAAATCTACGTTTGACATTATGTGCTTGTAGCAGTGTAGGTCCCAAAAGAACTTCAAAGACTGCTTATATTCTTAATTAAAATGCAACCATGAGTAACAAAATGAGTCTTTGCACCATGTTTTTATTTTATTTATTTTTTATTTATGTTTTTAAATAGAGATGAGGGGGTCTCACTGTGTTTCCCAGGCTGTGTTGAACTCCTGGGCTCAAGTGATCCTCCCTCCTCGGCCTCCCAAAGTGTTGGGATTTCAGATGTGAGCTACCGCGACCAGCCTATTTCTTTCTTTTAAAAAATTTTCCGGCCGAGCATGGTGGTTCAAACCTGTAATCCCAGCACTTTGGGAGGCCGAGGCAGGCGGATCACCTGAGATCAGGAGTTTGTGAGCAGCCTGGACAACGTGGCAAAACTCCGTCTCTAGCAAAAATACAAAAATTAGCCGGGCATGGTGGCGCATGCCTGTAGTCCCAGCTACTTGGGAGGCTGAGGCAGGAGAATTGATTGAACCTGGGAGGAGGAGGTTGCAGTGAACCGAGATCATGCCACTGCACTACAATGTTTTCTGGCATAGAGTGAGACTCTGTCTCAAAAAAAAAAAAAAATTTATTCCCCCATGTCACTTGCCCAGCTCCTTGTATGTTAACTATGTTAACTGCAACAAATAAGAGGTGTTTCCGCCAAATATTTACCACTGGAGTTAGCTGGGTGGAGCTGGGCATTGAGGTCCAGTCTAAAACACAACCTGAAACCTCAGAGGCTGACAGTCTGCACTCCAGGCTCACTCTAAGTTCCTCACCCACGCAGAGGATGCAATCCGTGGGGCAGGACACTTGGTCACAGTGTTCCTGCCCTTAGCTACAGGACCCTCCCCACCAAAGCACAATTTTTTTTTTTTTTTTTTGAGACCGAGTCTCCCTCTGTCACCCAGGCTGGAGTGCAATGGTGCAATCTCAGCTCACTGCAACCTTCGCCTCCCGGGTTCAAGTGATTCTCCTGTCTCAGCCTCCCCAGTAGCTGGGATTACAAGTGCACGCCACCACAGCCAGCTAATTTTTGTATTTTTAGTAGAGACAGCATTTCATCATATTGGCCAGGCTGGTCTCGAACTCCTGACCTCAAGTGATCTAGCCACCTTGGCCTCCCAAACTGCTGGGATTATAGGCATGAGCCAACATGCCTGGCCACCAAAACACAATTCTATCCAGTAACAAGAGGCCTGATGCTCTTGGATTGGATGTGTCCTAAATTCAATACTTTCAGATTTTGAGGCTAGGCTCGGTGTTCCCGCCTGTAATCCCAGCACTTTGGGAGACCAAGGCAGGAGGATCGCTTAAGCCGAGGAATTCAAGACCATCCTGGGCAACAAAGCAAGGCCCTGTCTTTATTATAAAACTAACTAAATAAATAATATTTCCAGATTTTATTAGTAAGAAAATGGTTGCAGGTTTTTGGGGACATCTAGTTTAATATCTGCCAGTGAGGCAGAAAATTTAAAAATAAATATGCATTCATTCACTCCAAGAAAAGTAACAGGCAAGACAAAGGTTAAAAAGAAAAGAAACAAGCTTTCCTCTCACTTAAAGGACAGTTATAAAATAACACTGTCCGAAAAGCCAAGGCCAAAGGAATAGGCTCCAGACACCTCTCCCGCTTCCAGAGCAATGTTGAAAGAGAAAAAGAGAGAGAGAGAGAGAGAGAGAGAGAGAGAGAGAGACAAATTCCTTTACTGCTACTCCTTTCCCTAGCTTCTTTTTTTTTTTTTTTTTGAGATGGAGTCTGGCTCTGTCGCCCAGGCTGGAGTGCAGTGGCCGGATCTCGGCTCACTGCAAGCTTCACCTCCTGGGTTTATGCCATTCTCCTGCCTCAGCCTCTCGAGTAGCTGGGACTACAGGCGCCCACCACCTCGCCCAGCTAGTTTTTTGTATTTTTAGTAGAGACGGGGTTTCACCGTGTTAGCCAGGATGGTCTCGATCTCCTGACCTCGTGATCCGCCCGTCTTGGCCTCCCAAAGTGCTGGGATTACAGGCTTGAGCCACCGCGCCCGGCTCTTTTTTTTTTTTTTTTTTTGAGACAGTCTTACTCTGTCGCCCAGGCTGGAGGGCAATGGCGTGATCTTGGCTCACTGCAACCTCTCCCTCCTGGGTCCAAGCGATTCTCCTGCCTCAGCCTCCCGAGTAGCTGGGATTAAAGGCGTGTGCCACCATGCCTGGCTAATTTTTTTCTACTTTTTTAGTAGAAACAGGGTTTCACCATGTTGGCCAGGCTGGTCTTGAACTCCTGACCGCATGTGATCCACCCTCCTTGGCCTCCCAAAGTGCTGGGATTACAGGCATGAGCCACCGCGCCCAGCCATTTTTTTCCCTGGCTTCTTAAGCATGACTATGTTTTACAAATGTATTTAGCCAGTTCTTGTTTTTCTTTCGACGCAGCTACAAGGTCACCAGGTATGCAAGGCCACAAGTTATGCACTATATGATTAACTGCCTTTGTTTTGCTTTTGTAAGCCCACTTATAAAAACCCCGCTCTGTCTTTGTTCAGTGCTCAGCTTTTTAGATGTGAATCCACTGAGCCAGTGCATACCTTAAAATGAATATCCTTCTCTTTTCCCATATCAGTCTCTCCGTTCCTCAGTTTACCATAACACCAAGTCTGTGGGACGTGGTTCTGATAAAGGATTCAGAGGATGAATTCTGACATTTTGAAATAATGAGATAAAAAAATTATACAATTCATGGGGGGGGTGGGTGCCTAATCAGGGTCTGAAATAATAACAATCTAGTCAAGAACTTGTATATATTTTGCTCTTGCTCTCTGTCACCCAGGCTGGAGTGCAGTGGAGCAATCTTGCAACCTCTGCCTCCCAGGTTCAAGCGATTCTCCTGCCTCAGCCTCCCGCGTAGCTGGGATTACAGTTGTGCACCACCATGCCTGGCTAAGTTTTGTATTTTTAGTAGAGATGGGGTTTCACCATGTTGGCCGGACTGGTCTCAAACTCCTGACTTCAAGTGATCTGCCCATCTCAGCCTCCCAAAGTGCTGGGATTACAGGAGTGAGCCACCATGCCCAGCCACAAATTTTCTAATGGCTAATTATGTTAGAATCATGTACTCTTTTTAAAAAAGTTATTCAGTGCTGATAGCCTTCTAAAGTATAGTAAATTGGAACAAGCCCTCTGGAAAACAATATGGTTTATTCAGTAACATTGAACACATGCAATTTCTATGACCCAGCAATTCCACCTGAGGAAGACACTCAGGAGAAACTTGCATGAGTAGGCTGGGTGGGGTGGATCATGCTTCTATTCCCAGTACTTTGGGAGGCCTAGGTGGGAGGATCGCTTGACCCCAGGAGTTCAAGACCACCCTGGGCAACATAGTGAGGCCTATTCTCTACAAAAAATAAACAAAATTAGCTGGACATGGTGGCACATGCCTCAAGTCCCAGCTACTTGGGAGGCTGAGTTGGGAGGATGGCTTGAACTTGGGAGGTTGAGGCTGTGCTAAGATCACACCACTGCACTCCAGCCGGGGTGACAGAGCGAGGCTCTGTCTCAAAAAGAAAAAAAAAAGAGGCTGGGAACAGTGGCTCACGCCTGTAATCCCAGCACTTTGGGAGGTTGAGGCGGTCAGATCACCTGAGGCCGGGAGTTCGAGACCAGCCTGACCAACATGGAGAAACCCCGTCTCTACTAAAAACATAAAATTAGCGAGGTGTATCAGCGTAGGCCTGTAATCCCAGCTACTTGGGAAGCTGAGGCAGGAGAATCACTTGAACCCAGGAGGCTAAGGTTGCAGTGACCTGGGATCACACCACTGTACTCCAACCTGGGCAACAAGAGCAAAACTCCATCTCAAAAAAAAAAGAGAAGAAACGTGTATGATTCAAGGAGCCATATATATAAGAATTTTCACAGCAATACTGTGAACATTCTCAGTTACTGTGGTACTCCAATCGCCACTGGAAACTTTAAAAAGAGAATATCATTTAATGTCATAAATGATAACTTCCAACATAAAATTCAGTTCAGTAGTTACTTCTGAAAGGAAGGAAGGAAATGAGATTCAGAAAAGGTATGTAGAGTTAATCAACGGCATTATAATAACGATGTTCCTTTAAGTAGGACAGTAGGTGTACAGACGCTTTTTGTATCTGTGTGTATAAAATATTTGCTAACAAATGTAATATTTCATATCAATATGTTAAATACCAATACATTTCTGGCAGGTTGCAGTAGCTCATGCCTGTAATCCCAGCACTTTGGGAGGCTGGGGCAGGTGGATCACGATGTCAGGAGATCGAGACCAATCCTGGCCAACATGGCAAAACCCCATCTCTACTAAAATACAAAAAATCAGCCAGGCATGGTGGCATGTACCTGTAGTCCCAGCTACTAGGGAGGCTGAGGCAGGGGAATCACTTGAACCCAGGAGGCGGAGGTTGCAGTGAGCCGAGATCATGCCACTGCACTCCAGCCTGGTGACAGAGAAAGACTCTATCGCTAAATAAATAAATAAATAAATAAATAAATACCAGTACATTAAAATAGCATAAATGTCTTAGAAGAATATAGTAAACACAGTTTAAAATGTGATTTAATATAAACATTGGGATTCAAAACAAGTGACGCCATGGAAATATGCTCATGACAGGTCACATGAATAAAGGAAGTTACAGAACATACACATAGTTTGAGCCCCCAGTTTTGAACAAAGAAATCTCTATGTGTGCCTATATCCAGGTATGGTATATAGTTATATATCTATGTCTATATAGCTATATAAAAGAGGAAA